TCTCTTTAATTGGCCATCAAACGAGCTTTGTGGAATTTCTGAATAAGGTATAACTGAATAGGCAAATAGCAGACATGATCATTCCTGTGCTTTATAGAGATTGTCCCCTTTTGCCTTTTCTTCCTGCTATGTAGTCACCTCCTACTGAAACTGGTCAAATATGTAATCTGCTTTTGTTTCCTTCTCATAAGTGAGTGACTGGAATTCATTAAACAATCTAACTTCTACTGCTGAGAACTGTTGTTCTCCACACAGTCTGATGAATAAGAATCCATTAGGATGAACACTTGTTCAAAAATCAAACAAAAGAACTGATAATGCGTACACCAAATGCCTGTTAAAAAAGTGAGAATATTCTCTTTGATTATTGTTATAAATATATAGAGGTACTGGTGAACAGCCCATCTTACAAATGGATGAGAATGCAGTCAGGCTGGTTCTGGTATAAACACAGAACACTTCCTGCCTCTGGGAGCTCACAATGTGAAGAATGTTGTTCTGTGCTACAGCCCTTACACTAGTAAAACGGGGAACTGTAAAGACATTTTTAATGAAGTAAGAGACATGTATTTTGGTGAAACTGTTTGTGATTTGTTCTGTTGCTTCGGTTTCTGTGCATTCATTGTTTGAGTTTCTGAGTACAGATCATCCTAACTGAACGTACTAGAAGAAATGCATGGGATGTACGTATCTGCTCTGGAGTCCTAACTCCAACCAAGAGGCTGCATATGCCAGAGAAGCCTTCACTGAGCTATAACCAGTAGGAAACATTCCTAACTGAATAAAGATCACTATTTTTAGAGAAATTCCCCAGAGAAACTACAAGAGCTTCTCCAAAAGTAAAACCTCCCATGATATTATGTTGGCCCAGAATGTCAGAGATGGTGATATGGCAGTAGAGGTTGAACCTTCCCACCAATATTCCATTGCTTCTTGTTGCAGTGCGACAAATGGCAGCAGAGGGGCAATCTCACAAAATGGCATCATGGAAGTGCATATGAAGAAAAGTTGTGTCATTTAATTCCTCCGTGTGAAATAATGGCACCCACTGACATTCACCCATGTTTGCTAAAATTTTATGGAGAACAAACAGTGAAGGTGAGCACAGTGAGGTGGTGGATGGTGCATTTCATCAGTGGCAACAGCAACAGTGTGTCACCTCCTGTGGTGCAGGTTTTTTTGAAAGTGGCATGCAGGCTCTTGTTCATTCCGAGTGCAAATTCATAGTTAATAGTGGTGACTATGTTGAAAAACAGTGTTTTGTAGTTGAGAATTCGTGCTATCAAATAGTGCCATTCAGCTGTTTGTAGCTGCTGTAGTTTCCATGAAAATAAACAGGAGGCATTAATTTTGGAGCAACATATATAGCAGTTTGAGATCTTCTGAAACAGATGCATGTGAATCACAGTGAAATTACACAGACATCAACATTTGATATAGTGAAAGTGCTGTCTAAGCAGAGGAGGTAGATTTTTGTGGACAAAAACTGATTGGTCCATTATACTAAGCATTTATGTAACACTTTGGCATTAAACAGATTTTGAGTTAAAATATGTATTATATCTCACTGTTCATGATTTGTTTTACTTTGTAAATCATTAGTTGTTATAAGGCATGAGGTATTACCTCCCAATTTTACAGAACAGCTACACAACTAATTTATGTTAGCAAGGGGCAAGAGGGTGAGCAGAAGCTTCAGGTGAGGTGAAAAAGTATTGTTGGTACATTCTTTACCAGTCCAATCATGATGAGTAAATGGAGCCACAGAAGGAGACAGGATGGAACAGGGTTGATCAATACATGCTTCTCCTTTGCCTTCCCTGCAGTCAAAAGAGAATGATTATATTTATCTGACCTTACGGGGAAGTATCTATTCCTTCTTGGAGGTTAAATGAAAAACGTGTATTCCTACTTTTATGCTGACCCAAAATTTGTGTCCTGATTCTACTGTCTCTGGCTATATGGATAGTTCTTCAAGTCAATGAGAAAACTGTCGTGAAAAAGTGTTTTTCACATGAATGAGGCTTGCAAGATCAAGCCCTTCATGATTGGTATAACCCTGGGCATTGGGCTGATACGGCATCACTGATTTAGAAGAGTAATCCTATTAGCATCAAAGGGAAAATTCACAAGTAAGGACTGTGAGAATGGGTCCCTCAGGAGCAACTGTAGCCATAGTTATGTATCTCACTTAGATCACAGCAGTTTTCAAATGTTGTACAGGCACTTTATGCTGCTACTGAACTTTTAAGAGAAAATACACCTTGAGCACAAGTTCACTTCTGTTTTACTGACTATAGCCCCAATTTTGCACTCTATTTAGACTCCTCTTCCCCAAATCTTAAGCAGTCAGTTTTCAAGAAATACTGCCTTCTATTCTTGTTTCTTTTCTTTTTCCCTTCCCTTAACCTTCCTTTAACCTCCCTTCTCCTCCCTTCCCCCTCCTATCTTCCCCTCCTTGTTCCCTCCCCTCTCCATTCCCTCCCTTAAATTTCCAGAATCCATTAAACAGAAATGAGAAATCCAAAGGAAAGGGTGATTTTTTTTGGTAGAATTTCTGTCTGCGTTTCTGATTCTCTTTAAATCCTACCTATATCTATGGTCTTTCTCCTGGCATTCTGGCATTTCCAGGTCTAGGTCTTGATGAGTAGTGTGTCCCCCTTGGGTCAACACTGGGACCAATACTCTTTAATATCTTCACCAGTGACATCAACAGTGGGATCGAATGCACCCTCTGCAAGCCTGCAGGTGACACAAGCTGTGTGGTGTAGTGGGCACACCTGAGGAACAAGATGCCTAAACAGGCTTGAGCAGTGGGCTCAACAAAGCCAAAAGCAAGGTCTTGCACCTCAGCTGCAGCAACCTTTACTACCAATATAAGCTGGGGAATGATAAGGAAGAAGTCTTTTACAGTAAGGGTTGTCTTCCCAGAGATATGTTTGATGCCCTGTCCCTGGAGACATTCAAGGCCAGTCTGGACCAGGCTCTGAGCAACGCGATCTAGCTTTGGGTGTCCCTGTTCACTGCAGGAGAGTTGGACTGGATGGCCTTTAAAAGTTCCTTCCAACTCTAAGGATTCTATGATTCTATGAAATGCATATGTATCAATTACCAACATTTCTGCACAAGTATAATAATGTGGATTTAATTTAAACCTGTTAACTTATTAGGTTTACTTTCTTCAGACAAGGAGTAGAGTATTAAACAGTAAAAAAAAAAAAAAAAAAAAAAGAGAGAGGTAATATAAAATAATTATATTTTTATCATTATAAGACTAATTAGACCATGTGATTGGGATATATTATGTTAGGTGGCATATAAATGTTTATTAAGATAAAATTTCTGCCTTGAATTAACAGTTATGAGCTGCTGAAACATTTCCAGAATTTTTAGAAATCCATTCCCTGTGAAAAGAAAATCTGCAAAATTTTCATTCCCTCACCTAGAGTATTCAGACTCACATGACTTGCTTTGTTGACTTCAAGTGAAATACAATTTGCTGTGTCACTGCTGGGAACAAAGGTTGTTCAACACAACTCTTACAGTCAATTCAAAACAGTTTATGAGCTACAATCCTTATACAACTGAGTTTTGCTGTTTGATGATTAATAAAACCAGACACAAAAGGTCTGAAAACACAGGTGCTAAATGTGACAAGAGGCACTGAAATAGTCTCAATTAATGTTGGTTATATGTATACAAGACCAGTTTTTCCATAATGATGCAGCTTTAAAAGTTGTATTCCCTTCTACTTCATGCACAGCTTTAGGATTATTTTTGAAATCCTTATTGTGTACCTGAGTACATTTGTCTACATCTTTTTCAGCTTTGTTTATATAAGCTCAGTCACAAACACTGTTTCAGTTACGAAAAGGAGTGTCAAGGGAATAATGCCTTTTTCTTTGCAGAAGCAGAGGGAGGTTTGCACACCAGGTTTCCTCCTTTCATCACACTCAACTGAGTTGGTTAGGAGAAGCTAATGCCCAGCACTGAAGTTCCTTTATTTTCAGTTCGGCATTGCAAAACAGCACGATGCTTGTTAACTGCAACAGCACTGGTGGTTTCACAACAAAAAGAACTTTGTCTTTGGTTAAAGTTCAGATCCACCATCTGAAAGTAAGGACTGAAAGTGCTAAGATTTTAGGTACTTTAGTAGTTTTTCAAGTAAGCTTTGAGACCATTTAGGAACTTGTGTCATCACTGAACATGGTGCATTATACGCAGCACTGGTGAGGCCGCACCTCAAGTGTGTTCTTTTGGGCCCCTCACGACAAGAAGGACACTGTAACCCTGGTGTGCGTCCAGAGAAGGACACAGAAGCTGCAAAGAGTCTGGAACACAAGTCTTATGGGGAGCAGCTGAGGGAACTGGGATTGTTCATTACGGAGGAGGCTGAAGGGTGACCTTATCCCTCCCTACAACTCCCTGAAAGGAGCTTGTGGCATTGTGGCAAGGAGTGAGTTGGGCTTTTCTCCCTGGTAGCAGCGATATGGACCAGAGGCGATGGACTTAGGTTGCACCAGGGGAGGTTTAAGTTTGATATTAGGAATAATTTCTTCTTAGAAAGAGTGGTGATGCATTGGAACAGGCTGCCCAGGGAGGTGGTGAGGTCACTGTCCTTACAGATGTTCAAGAAATGAATGTGATACTTAGAGATGTGGTTCGAGGACATGGTGGGGATGGGCTGACGGTTGGACTAGATGATCTTGGTGGTCTTTTCCAACCTCAGCAATTCTATCTCTAATGAAGCCTGCTCGGGTTGCAAACTTTGATTTCCCTCCAGGATTTTATAGGTCCTTAGACCCGTGAAAATTCAAACCAAAGTGCTTTTTGTGGTTTATTTGCTTTTTCCTGCCGTTGTGTTTCAGGTAATGCTGGCAAGGGTCAATCAGGCAAGGGGCCGCCGACAAACCAGTAGCCGGGAAGTTGTAAGGCGACGCCGGAACCCGCCAGGCCTCTCGCAGCCCAACAACGGCCACAACGACCCCTAACCGCTCCCGCCAGCACACAACCCTCAGCCTCCCGCCGCGCCCGCCTGCCCTGGCTACGCGCCCGCCCGAGACCCGCCCCCGCGCCGAGGAGGCGAGGCAAGGCGGGGCCGGACCCCGGGGCTGGGCGGAAGCGCGGTGTCCGGCCGAGAGCGGCAGGCTGGTCGCGGTGTGCGCGTTCTCCGAAGGGAGCCGGTGAGGTGCGTGGGTGCTGCGTGATGGCGGCTCCCGCTGCGGTCTGGAGCGGAACGGAATGTCTCTGCGCCCTCCCTGGGGCTGTGCTCCGCGAAAGGCGGCGGGGTTTCCCCCGGGCAACGCCTGAGGGGAGCGCTGGGGGTTGGCGGGGGGCGGCGAGAGGGAGGCCCGGTGCCTGGAGCTCGCCGCGAGGCCGCGCCGTGGGGAGAGGTGGCCGGGCCGGGGGTATCCGCGGCTCTTCTCCGTGTCAGAGTTTCGCTTTGGCCTACAGTAGCTTAAACGTGTTTTGAGTTCACAGCTCGCATTTGATAGGGAAGCAGGAGGCCTCGTGGTTTCAGCGTGGCTTGAGCGTTTCCTGACGAGGTTTTGAAGGTGGTTCTGTGGAAAAGCGATTGCGTGTTATGGAAGGGGTGGGTGTAGTGCCAGAGCTCAGGGGTGCAGTCGGGGAGAACAGAGCTTACGTTGTGAAGCAGCTGGGCTTGTCGTGACACTTTGAAAACTGGTGGTACAACAAACGAACACCAAAAGGCCATCCCGGCTGAACTTCAGCTAATGACAACTACATGGGGAACACACAGCCAGTGAGAACATGTGATGTGAATGCCGAGCGAGGACCTGAACATACCTGAAATATCTTCCCCCCCTCTGCTTTGAAGAGCCTGTGCATGGGATCTAGACTCGTGCGTTTAGCAGACCCAAGCTTCTGTTCATGCTACAGTGAGGTGCTGTATTTCTAGATAAGGCTGCTGGCAGTTTTAGTAGGCTTATCCCTTTAAGTTTTATGCTGTTGTTGAATGTAGTGTGATTTTATTTTATTTTTTGCTTTTCTGCTGGTGTTAAAACTATGAATTCTTTGCCTTCAGTTTTCCATCTTGCATTCCCATAGTGAAAGCAAGGCTTGGGCTTGAGGAAAATTAGAAGATGCTAACCCTACAAGTCATAAAAATGGACAAGTGTGATATAATTCCAGTGTGAAGAATACTCGAATATTCTCATGAACAGCTTCTCATGACTTTGCATTGTAGTTCTTGAATATGTTTTCAGTGTGGCTTTCAAATTCATTATGGAAAAATGCTCTGAAGCCATAGATTTACTTTCTTCTTTTTTTTTTTTTCTTTTTTTTTTTCTCCCCTATGAAATCACACATACCCCTTTCTGTGACACAAAGTTAGAAGTGACAGTTTCTGTTCACTGCTGAGCAATATCTTTTCTGAGTTGCTGGTTGACCTCAGAGCTGCTGTACTGCAGTGTGAGTGGAAAGAATGGTGCTCCTTGTTCCATAACCATGAGTTCTTGGCCCAGTGATCTAGCCACTCTTCTGGAAATGATAAAGGAGGGAGCAAAATTCCACTGTTACAACCAGTCCTATTCTGGCAAGGCTAGGTTTGTTTCACAGAGCAAGCTGCTGCTTATCTTTGTCCTGCCCTTTTCCCCACCAAGGAGCTGTTCTGAACAAGAATCTTAACACAGCTCTCAGTTGGGCCAGTTTCCCTCTGGTTATAGCTGACAGTGACTCCTTGCTGGAGGCAAAATGAGAGATTGTTAGATCTGTACATAATAATATATATTTTTTGTGACTATTGTTAAGATATAATAGGAAATAGTGAAGTTAATTGTGACAAAAAAGTACATTTATTTTGGTCTTGAATGAAACGGCTGGGAGCTAAGACATACATTTTATGTAGTCCTGCTCACTGAATGTGTGATGAGTTGGTGAGACTGAAGACTTACTCTGTGCAGATCACAATTTAAATGTGCAAGTGGGCATGCTTTTTATTTTATGCACATTCAGTCCTCAAAACTTTCTTAACTTTATGTTGTTGACAAAAGATACCACCTCCATTGGGTTGTGGGTTTGTTATAGCCTCACTGAAAAGAAGTTCCATTAGCTTAAACCTCCCATGATAAATGCATAAATAGTTCTCTGCTCTTTGTCATTACGATTTAATCTTTGCCTGTGAATCATGCTTAAAACAACTTTTAAGAACTGGATCTCAAAGGAAAAATATATATGTTTAACTCAGTTTGATCACAAGTTATTACTGGGTGGGAAGACAGCGATTAGTTTGAAAACTGAAATGCAGTTATAGTTGTGCCATTTTGCAAAGAAAAAGTAGGCAATACTAATTTTCTTCTATAAGCACTATAATATGTATATTGTGTCATCATGCTCTTTGGATCCTGATAATTGCTTAGGGAAATTCACTAGTTTAGGTGATGCTCTCTAACTGGTTGTGTTATTTGAGCAGTATTCTAGTTTGACTAAATTTTGTATTGTACTAAATAGTTTCGTTATTAAAATTGACAGTTTAATAAGCCAATGCAATAGAAGAGAAAAATAAAATGGTAATATAGTTTATCATCTTAAGGTATTAGATCATGTCTTCCTGGAAGTAAATTGGGGAAAAATAAACTTGTTTGAAATGACTTTTTTTAGGGAGCCAAAGTTGTGTTATCATTGCAGTGTGGTGATGCTAAAAAAAAAATACCCCACCAAATCCATTCTGTCAGTCCTGTTGTCAGAACTTTAGGTTGCTCTAATGTCAGTCTAACTTCAGTATTTTTCAAAGGTCATCTGTGAGAAGTGGAGAAATGGCTAAATCGACCCAGCTAATTGACAATGAAGTCTTCCGTGCTTATGCTACCTATGCAGCTATTGTTCTTATAAAAATGATGCTTATGAGCCTTATAACTGCATACTTCAGAATCACAAGAAAGGTAAGAAATTGGGAATACTGTCTGGCATTCTTATGAGACTGTCTCCTACAGTTGCATTTGACTTATTCTACCCTTCTAAATCATCTCCATTCTTTTTAAATAAGAACTTTTCAGAACTGTGTTTTCCACTGTTTTGTATATAATGTATATCCAGTTTTTAAAGCAAATAAAATGTGATGTGAAGCCATGTTGTGAATAACCATCCAATAGGGTCAAAAAGGGCATATGGGTTAGATTTTTATGCATCTATAACCCTTTCATCCAGTAATTCTAAAGCTTTTTACATTCCCTAATTGTTTTAGCCTTCCCATTTCATGTTGCTCTCCTCCCCCCCGCCCCCTCCCAAAAAAAAAAAAAAAGAGAGGTGGGCCAAAAGTTTACATGGATTCATGACTAAGCTAGATAAGCATATGAAAAATAGAGTGAAGTTTACAAAGTAATGCAGAAGCTGCATCTTGTTTAGGAGCGGGTGCATGTGAAAAGCATTGTGTAGTTTGCCCTGTTCTTGGTCATTTCTAGGTATCTCTTACTGACTGTTGTTGGAAACACTTGATCATGAGCTGAAAGAGCTTTGGATTTGCCCCATGTGATTGTTCTTAGCAGATCTGCTTCTGCAAGACAGCATATGCTTCAAAGAGTTTATTGCAGTCCTTTTGAGTTCAAATGCAGCTTTTTATTCTTGCTGGGTGAAAGAGAAAACAGCTGAATTATGCTGTTGTTCAGGATGTTACTCAGTGCCTTTGAGGTCCTGGTAGAACGGCAGTTGAGATACTGCTGATTTCAGATAGCTCTCTAGGTCTTCAGCACAGCCTAATATTGAGTCTAGTAGACCACACAGACTGTATTTTGTTCAAAATAGAATGCAGATTTCAGATAATTGGTCAAGAATAGTGAAAAGGGGACTTAGACAGTACAAGCAGTTCTACCTTGGAGGTTCCGATATTCCTTCAGCCCACTGGCATTACTTCAGTCATCTGCCATATCCAGATATATTCTAAGAAGGCATCATCCAAATGCATAAATTGCAGTTATTTGTCAGCATGCAAGCTACACTTTGGCTAGGTTCAAGAAATCAGTAATTCATTCAATTATGTATTGTCCTCTGTGCATTTAAATGCAGGTCAGTTATGTGGGGTTATAGAGGCATTAGTAGAAAGAGTGACCTTTCTATCAAGCTGCCTTGACTAGTAGAAGCATCCTTGCATCTAATGTCACTTGTGTGTTTTTATTTGAAACAGGCATTTGCCAACCCAGAAGATACAGCATCATTTGGTAAAGGTGACAGTGCTAAAAAATTCCTGCGGACTGATGCAGATGTTGAACGTGTACGCAGGTAATGCATGGAAGTATTTAAAAATATTTTAAGTACCAGAATAGTACTAAAACAAAGAATTAATTTCATCATGTTCTCTTTGGCAAGCCTGCGTTTGTTCTCAGTTGCAATATATAGTAATTTTTTACACTAATTTGTCAAGGTGGACAAACTATTCCACATTCAAATGGTCAGCAATCGTACTAAAAGTAAGAATTCATTATCTTGCTATAATAGCTCATTGAATGAAATCCTGAGTGCATGGGAAAAGCAGTGGGGAGATGTAAAACATGATCGTACATTGATTTAGTATGAATCAGTGTATATTCAGTATAGATCAGTTTTCTATATAATCTGAGCATGAGTTGTAATAGTTACATCTTTTATTAAAGTGTAAGGGAAATAATGGGGGGAAAAGGAATAAAATTATATTAAAGTCGTGGAACTGCAAAGTTGTAATGAGGGCATAATCTGGCAAATGGTACTGTGTGGGAGTCAAAACCTATGTTCTTTTTGCTGGATTGAATTGGGGTTACTCACTGATGTATCAGTTGTATAGAAAAGTTGACCAGCCTTCTGGAAGAATGCTAATAATAGTATGGCAGCGTGCAACCTGCCCTATAAGTGTTTTGTTTTGAAGATTTGTGGCAGAGTGTAAACTGTAGTTCAGTGAGCTAAACGTTATAGTGTATTTAATTTTATTTAGCTATTGGCAAAAATATTCTGTTACCAAGATTGTAAGTTTAGATATAGTGCTTGATATAATTGTGCTAACAAGGGAAGCTTTAATATTAATACTTAATGTTACTGTTATCCCTTAATGAAGCTTTTAGTTTGTTCTCTGTATTCAAGTTTTTACACCAAAAACTTGAATGTTTGAATGTGAATGAGCTGTTCTCATTCAAATCACCATTTAAGAAGATCTAGAAGATAAGGATCACCTCTGATTTCAGAATGTCTCATCCTTGCAGATGTAGTTCTGTGAAGGATAATATATTTCTGTATGGCTCTTTTGGATTAAAATCTGAGAAAGAAGAACCTCATCTCAGTATGCAGTAAAGATGTTCTGAGCTTTCCTTTTATGCCCCTCTATTGCTTGAGGAATTGTTATTTTATTTGCTGGTTATTAAATGAAAATATGCACTTTTTGTTGATGAGTAATCCTTTCCTATTTGTAAATTTTAAGAAGGCATCTAAGTCAATATTAATTTTAAGACCAGGTGCCCCTTTGACTCAAATTATTTTGTTAGGGAAGTGACATTCACCTCAGTCTCAGTTGCACAGACTGGAGTTCTGTGAGACTCAAAAGCTATTGCTGCTGTTTTTCAGTTGCTCATGAAGTCCATTATTTGCAGTCACAGTCAACTGGTTAATTGATGTTTGGTTGTGAGAGGCTGCAAGAAAATTCCAGCTGTCATCATCTTTCTTTTGATGCATTCTTGCACACCAAGTTGCACTCATATGCCTCATGTAAGTCCATAATGTTACTAAGATCCTAGAGAAAAATGGAAACCTTACAGACGGAAGATCAGAAAGGTAAAAACATGGAGTGCAGCACTAGAGACTAGAGCGATGTCAGGTGAACATGTTGGAACTGTTTCAGTGTCTGAATCCAGTTCCCACTGCAGAGAAAGCCAGCAGTAGTGTTAGGGCCTTAACACTTTGTAGAACACTTTGAAGATGCTAAAAAACAAAGGCTCTTGAAGTGATTTATTCAACAAAATGTAACACTATAAAACAATTTTGCTTCTTTCCCCAGAGGCCACCTGAATGACCTTGAAAACATTGTCCCGTTTTTTGGCATTGGACTGCTGTATGCTCTTTGTGGCCCTGATCTGTCCACGGCCTTGCTGCATTTTAGGATCTTCACAGGGGCAAGGATCCTTCACACTTTTGCATACTTGATCCCTCTTCCCCAGCCCGGCAGAGGTTTGTCTTGGGCAGTTGGGTATGCAGTTACCATCTCAATGGCATACAAAGTGCTGAGTAAAGCATTGTACCTGTAGCTGAATCATAGCTTCTGTACATCACTTGACATTCCACACAAAGTTTCCAGTGGTTAGTGTTTTGAATGAGCTGTCATAAGTTTTACAGAGTGACTGGAATTCATTTTTCAATAGAAGTTTTTCATTCCTGTTTAGAAATATTTCTTTTTGGAGGAAAAAAAAAATCCCTTTTCCTGTATTCCCTATTCATGGACTGCGCTGCCAAAATATTAGATTGAATGTTCTGTTTGCTATTTGTCAAGTGCTTATGATTCTAAACATACGATGATGTTGTATTGATAGCATGTGTGGTAATTTTCTACAGATGCACTATTTTTGGCTGTAGCTCTGAAGTCTAAATCAATAAAGACAAGATGAAAAAAAATGTGTTTGAATTTTTGTTTTCATTTTGACACTTCTAACTGCAGCCCGCAAATAGAATGTCACTATGTATCAGAAAGAGATTTCCAATCATACAGTTCTTTGAAGAATGCTTACCTTAATAATAAGATGTAGCCAGTAATACTAGGCTTGTTGTAAAAAAATCTTTGATGGAATTGTTGTTTGTGTAATCCACTTTGGGATTAAAAAATGCAAACCGTTGTAGCTCCATTTCACTCAGATGAATAGATTAAAGAAAAAAAAAAAGATATTTGGGTTAAACTCTGTTTAGTGACAGTGATGAAATTTTGAAGTAATTATTTTTGTGGAAGTTAGGCCATACCTAGGTTTTGTACTGGATAATGCAGATCCTTTGTAGAAGATCTTTTTTTCATTTTTGAATAAATTCATTGTAAAATGAGTGACACTTGCAAATATCAAGTAATTCAGAAGTGAATATATAATTAGTTTGTATGTCATACAGTCATAAATATGTCCCTGATAGGAAATTTTGCTCTTTGCTTATATCTTTCTATGATGTGTTAGTTTGAAGTATTTTCTTTAAAGGACTCTTCCAGGTCTTGTTCGTTTCTTCGTGTACATATGGCTTAAATGATAGCACAAAATTTCAGGGAAAGGGAATAGCCTAGAAAGGACTTTATACCTAGTGTGCTGGTTATTGATAAGTTTTAAATAGAAGAATGGAATGTTAAGACCAGCTATCTTGGGTAGTATGTTTTTAACCATGTCACATTTCCAATCAGCCCTTCCTATTTTAAGGAGAGCTAGTAGTAGCAAGAGAAGGGACCAGACCGGAACCTTGAACCTAAACCAAATTGTTTCTTGCTCTAATTTTTGAATGTTTCCAGTATGCCTGCAGTAGCAGTGGGAAAGCAAAGGTCCATGTGTTCAAATAATTCAGTTGCTAATATACTCCTTATCTTAACCATCTAACAGCAGTGTGATCCAAAGTTTAAAATCAGACATTAGTTCATTTACAGGCATGTTAAGATATGCAAATGTCACAAGTTATCCACCAGGAGTGATGCAGTTTAGCTGAAACTGCAAAATATATTCAGGAGCAGCTTTTAACTCCTTTTGCATCAAGCTTCTGTAGAAATCTCATTCTAAAGAGAAATACTTGGAGCCTGTCTTTATTTCTGTGTTCTTACAAACAAAGCTACTTTTAAATCCCTTCCATTTGTTCACTGTTATCAAAGCCCTGAACATACACTCACTATGTGGTGAGAAGTAGGAAAGATAAACAGAAACCCTTAGAAATACCTAGAGTAATTCAATATTATTCTGTGTTTTTCTTGCATTTATTTTAAACTTATATTTTATTTTCCTTTGCTCCCACAAACACCATCTGTGAATCTGGGTGGGGTACACACTCAATCTGTGAGATCTGCCTTAGCAGATTCGATGAATCTTTGACTGCCAGCTATGTGGAAGTATGTTACGTAGGTTGCTCTGAAAGTAATGCCTCCTATTTATTTGCATGGAAACTGCAACAGCTACAAACAGCACAACAACAATTTGTTAAAGGAAATCCTCAGCTACATCACCATGTTTTTCAACTTTGTGACCACCTTTAGCTTTGTATTTTCATCAGCAATGAACAAGAACTTTATGCCATGCTCATAAAAGTTTGTACCAGTGGAGTTGACTCGCTGTTCCTCTCACCACTACTGAAATGCGCCACCCACCACCTCACTGTGGGTCTCTGTAAATGTTCAGCAAGTGTCAGTGAGTGTCCTTATGGAGGAAGTCAATTACACTTATTTGCTTCATACACAATTTTATGTCAGATGACATTTTGTCAGATTGCCCCCCTTCTGCCATCTGACACACAGCAACAAGATGTGATGGAACATTGGTAGGAACCTCTAGTATCATACCTGGGATTGTGGGCCAAAATAATAAAATAGGGTTAATTGCTTTTGGAAGAGACCTCATAGAATTGTCCTTTTCACCTGAGTCTTGCTTTGCTCCAGGCCACGTATTCAAGAAATTTGCTGTACCTATGTCATAGCCAATACATACAGGTGTATACTAATAAAGAAAAAAAAGTTGTTTATTTTCTGCTCTAAATTAAATTTTCACCTTTTAAAATATGTCAATGGGAATTTAGGACAGAGTTTATCAGATTCTGTTGCAAAATCACTAATTGAGATAATTTGTAACTGAAAAAGCAACTGGCTGCTGGCAAGTAGACTGTGTTTGCATTGTTGAAAGTAGCGAAGTAGAAAAAAGGCCAGAATGTAGGAGAGTCAAACCAGTGCCCTGCAGTCTTCATTTTAGTTCCCAATGCTTGTTATTTCTACCACTTGTAGGCAGCTAGAGAAACTACAAGTTTCTTTTCTCTGTAGATTATTCCTGACATTTTATATTCTTACTTTTCAAAAGTACGTCGTGGTTTGAAGTTGTTCTAAGACCAAAAGGTGCCTTAAAATGCTAGCTGACTTATCTTGACCCAGTTAGTTGGGTTCCTTTCTGAGTGAATTTCATGGACTGCTTCATTTTTAGAAGTATAAACGTGAGCAATTCCTTGGTATAGATTTCAACTCTGTGAGTAAGTGCTTATGTGTTTTTAGATGAAGTTACTTTTCCTTTTGGTTGTGGCTGCAGATAGATGTGCTGTAACCACTTGCTGAGAGGGTTGGTGACTGTCAAAGAGCTCTGAGCTAGGACTTGCCATCTGAGCATAGCTTCATATCCTGTAATAACAAAACAGGTGTTTAAAACTATAAATTATACATAGGATGTTTCCTTGAATTTCTGGAATAAACTCTTTGTCTGAACTACACTGCCCTCAGGGTGCTTACTTCATGAACGTGGTCTGGTGCTTCTGAAATTGCATATCATCAAGATAAAGGAAAAGAAAAGCTTAGGCTTGTAAATCATTTTGGGGTTTTGAAAAATATTATAGTCATCAGAAATCTGCATTGCTCTGTGCTTAGCAATGTTTCTTTCTAGTTATTTACAGAAGCTAATTCAGTCTAGATTTTTGATGACCATTGCTTGTAATGTATATCCTTTCTAAAAGCAAAAGATGAAGACTTGAAGAATAGCCTTTAAAAAGTAATTAGAATATTGTCTGTTATTAATCAAACTGTTTTTTTTAGCATATTTTTCATTCCAAAGCTGAAGTTTAAGAAAAACCTTTCTCTTTTCCATTACTGTACAAACCTTGTCCTCTCATCTGAGATCACAGAGCACATCGAATGCTCTGTGAAAAGTTGTATTGACATACATTACAATATTCACGATTAAGTAGCTCCAGCTGATAGACACTTAGAAAAATATATCTTTGTGATTCACTTCAAGTGAAACAAAATAGTATTAATTAAATACTGATTTTAGAACTTTCCAAACTTGTTTAGTAACTCTTGCTCGGAGATTTTGGAAACTAAAATAGATCATTACCTCCTTCAGCCTGACCTCTAGTGGAAAATATGCCATGGAATGGCTGCCCTTGCGCTGAGGTTAGTTTTAATTACAGCATGTCTTCCAGAAAGGTGTGTGATCTTTAGTCAGAAACATTAGGAAACAGGCATCGATCCACTTCTTTCTTTGACTCGCTTCTCTCTGGAATACATACACACAAAATTTAGTCTTTAAAAACAGGATTTATTTATTTATTTTAATCAAGGCAGTTATAAAATTATTGTGATGCAAGGAAGAACATGAAATGTCTTAAACAGGTGCTTTCCTCCTACAAAGCATCCTGCTCTTCTTTGCTGTTCACTCTCAGAAAAGTAAAAATAAAGCAAAAAGAATTTAGAGCCTCTTTTTACATGCACAAAAATACTACTCTTCTATTTTAAAAGTAGGTATGAAAAATGTGAATTATAACGTCTAATTTTTTTCTTTTCTGTATATTACTATTTATTCAGGCTTAGGAAAGTATATTATGGTGAAAAAGCACACAGAAGACTGTATTCTGCACAAATACATGCAATGTATGAAGTAACTGTGATGACATATGATCCTATGTCATAAATTCTAATAGCATTGTGAGGTAGGGCATCGCTTGCTAGCCCGGAGAGAAACTTATTGAAGTGCATGCTTATAAAAGATTGGAAAATGACATCTCTGGCACACTTTTCTTCAAAGCCTACTGAGGTATATGCTATATGGGTAGGGGAATGGTGGCTGATGTATTAAATAGTCAGCCTCCATTTCTTGACATGGCATTTCCAAATTCTGACCTGTGTGCCAGGTGGCTGCTTCCTTTGCCATGGAAACGCATTTGAGAGTCATTTATTTTTGTACATTAAAGGATGTTATTTTAGCAATGGCTACATAACCTCTGTAACGAAATGCTTTCATCTCTAGTTCTTTGCTGGTAGATCCCAGTGCGCATCACCACTGACAGTTAGCATCTTTCTTTTATTCTACATCTTACTTGTACTGGTGGACTTTTGAGAGTGGATAAGAAGAGGGAGTTCCAAGAAGCCTGCCTGTCTTAAAAAAATAAAAATAAAAATAATAGAAGAAGGTAAAAAAAAAAGGAGTGTTTGCCTCATGGGTACTACTTGTCCAGTGAGGAGAATAAATTTAGAAGGTAGTGGCAGTCCTGTAGAAACACTGAGGAGAAAAAGAAAGTGATAGGAGAGGGATATTTTTATGATAGCTCAGTGCAGCATGAAGTAGCAGACTCAATGTAGCCTATTAACTGCAGATTAATAGGTTAGGTGTTTTCAGAGAGGTAGACAGCATTCTGCTTCTTCAGTTCTATTTTATAGACTTATTATCTCAAGTTAAAATAAATTCATGTTTAAGGATGTTTTTCCTTGTACATCTAGTCAATGTGTAAATCTGCAAAGAGGATTGTTAATACCCGAACTCAGAATGGATATGATCCATTGGCTAGGTAAACTCAATAGCTAGTTCTTTTCAACCAGCTGCCTCTTAAGAAGGCTCTGTGGCATGCAGACCGCAGTGAGGAGATAGGAGTTGACAGGTAATTACAAATAATAGCTTATAATACTGTCCTTA